GACTCAAAGCATGGAACAAAGTGCGGAATCTCAGAGGGAAAGCAGGGGAGGGTGGGTGGGTGGTACCAAAGACCTTGGATGCATATATGCATAACCCATGGACACAGACAATAGGGTGCTAAAGACCTGAGGTGGGGGTCGGAAGGGGGCAGGAGGGGGTCAATGGGAGAAAAAAGGGGACATATGTTATACTTTCAACAATAAGGAATTATTTTTAAAAATAAAGTGACTATTGATATGTAAAAAAAAAAAAAAAGATAAGGCCACAAACTCAAACAATAAAAGGCCAGGGATGCAAAATAAAGGAGCCAAGTAGGTGTCATACACTGGACAACAGCAGGGACCATGGGGCAATGGAGAGAGTGTGCCCTGGCTAAAAGGGCCAGCAGCTACTCAGATCCAGCCAAGTACTGCCAACTATGAACCCTCATGGATCTGGTATTGGCAGAGCTTCTGATTTTTTAAGAGAAACACAAAATCCCAATTTTTACGTGAAATCCTGCAATTTTAAAATGTTGATTTAAATTTAACATAGTGAGGGTCAAACAGACTGCATCCCCCAGCCACAGGGCCTGGTCATACCCTTGAGGACCAAATTCAGCTGTGGACCACCAGTTTGCAGCTTCCATTCTGAGTTGCCTTGGACTGCCCATTGTACTCTTGCCTTTCTCCTAATACTGAACTCTCAACTTCCTTTCCTTACTTGGCAGACTCCTACCCATCCTTCAACACCCAAATCAAGAGTCACCTTAATTGTAACTCATTCCCAATTCTCTGCTACACTTTCCACCTCTCCACTAAGAAGGTAGAGAAGAATCAAAAATAGAGGCAAAGAATAAAAGAAGGTAACACCAAGAAGGAAGACATGGAGAAGTTATAGAACAAGCTTTTCCCACAAAGGAGGAATTAGAACTGCTTGGAAAAGTTACCCCATTGATGCTTGAAAAATCACTTAAATAAGGACACTGATCCCATTTGACCTTAATCAAATATAATAACATTTTAAAAGGGCAAATATAAAAAAAAAACTAAGTGCAGAATTCACAGGCTAGATTAAAAACCAGTTGGACAAAAATACCTGGGAATTTGAACGAAGAGTTCAGTGAGTCAACCATGTGATGAGACTGTCATAAAAAAGGCAAAACGCCTTCATAGATTTCATTATTAGAAATGAAGAGTCAACATAGCCCTGCTCTAATCTCAGCTGGCCAGACCTCCCTAGAGTGTTCTGAATGGTCCTGAATATTAAGTTCTGTAGGTCAGAGAAGACCCGAAGAGTGACTGAGAGAGAGTATCCCAGGTGGAGAGGAAACACAAGCCAAATCACAGAGGGACAAGTGAAGGAACCTGGGATGTTTACCCAGAGCTTTGAAAGACCTGGGTGGGTGATCATGATTTCCGTGTTCGAGAAATTCACAGGTTTCCATGTGGATCTGACCTATGTGGCCCTTAAGGGTATGACCAGGCCCTGTGAGTGAGAAACACTATAAGATTTCATCTCAACATTGGGGAGAATTTTGTATTGGTCACAGTTGTCCCCAAATGAAACGAGCCGTCCTGAGAGGTAGTGAATGCCCTTTATTGAGGGTGATCTAACAGAGGGAGGATGATCACTCTTATAGAGGATGATAAAGGACTGGAACAGCGGCCTGGTAGACACTAAATGATTTACTGCACCTCAGTTTTTCCTGAAGAACCACCCCTCACCCATTCTCTGTCCCATGCATCAGGTAAAGCTGAGTGTACATTTGGCTTCAGGGGTAGGTGTGTTTCTCAGGCATGGTCAGTCCACATGTATCCCCCAGCCACAGGTACAACAGCAGGCATGTTCACGTGACCCACACTGAGCCAATCAGAGCCCATAAGACCCAATTCTGGGGGAAAAGGAGCTCTCACTTCCTTTTTGAAGCCTGAAGCTGCAAGGGGCCATCTGGTCATCACATGTAGAGACTGACTACAAAAGAGCCCTTCACAGTCTCCCCTAAAAAGGGGAGGGGGGATGGAGCACAGTTGCCAGAGAAACTGAATTTCTTTGTGCCCTCAAAGCCCCTCAGGTCTGAACCAGGCTTGGCTCTAGAGAGCTGGTAAATCCCCCTTTTCCCTCAAGCAGGTTGAGCTGGGTTTCTGTTGTTCGCAACCATAAGAGTCCTGATCCCCACAATGACCTCCAAGATCTCGTTCACTTCCATTCTGCTATGGTGGATCCATACCTCACACTTAAAGCAAGGGCCACCTGCATGCATAAGTCCATTTGATTAGACCAGTGGTCGGCAAACTGCGGCTCGAGAGCCACATGCGGCTCTTTGGCCCCTTGAGTGTGGCCACAAAGTTTCAATCGCACTGTACGTGCGCACCCGCACGTGGTATTTTGTGGAAGAGTCACACTCAAGGGGCCAAAGTTTGCCGACCACTGGATTAGACGAATCCTAGAATGGCTTCTGGAATTTGAAGTGTTTCCTCTACCAGTAGTCATGAGAATAGAGTCCACTACAAGAGGGAAAATGGAGAATCATGAAAAGGTAGTTATTGAGTTAAATAGCATCTTGTCATCAGTGAGAAGCTGTCAGTCAAGGCAGCTCTCCCAGGCCTGAGACCAGGAAAGACTCCTGGCTTACATCTACTCTTCAAAACAGGCCCCTGATGGAGACATCATCACCATCTCCACTTCCCAGATGAGAAAACTGATGCTCAGGGAGACTTGCCCGGGGTCACGCGTCAGTGAGAGGCATTTCTGAGAGACTGCAAAGCCCAGCCATGCTGCCTCCTGCCAGTGACGAAAACAGACCCAAAGTTACCAAATCTGGGTTCTCCTTGCAGCTTCTCAAGCTTTACCTCCTCATCTATAAAATGGGTGACGAGCCCATGCCCCAGTCTGACCAGAGACCAGCCCTGCAGTCATTCTGAGGCCTGCAGGAACTGTTATTACATAAGGAGTGCAGTCTCGGTGCCGAGATTATCTATAACTGATGTGACACAAAGAGGCCGTGCTGTGCTAGCTCAGCCAGCGAGGCCCTGTCCCCATCTCTCTCCCGGCCCTCGGGGCTGGGTTGCTTCCTTTGTTCCACAGGCACAGGCCTGGTAACAAGGCAGCCAGGAGCTCAGCTGTAGACATTTTTTCATTATTTTCCACCCTGTTAACCTCCATCACAAGTGAGGCTGCTGTCAGCCTAAATGAGAACTGAAAAGATTTATCTCACTTGTCCCCTCGGCTCAGCTCTTGGGGGGCGGGGAGGGGGGACCCTTCATTTCCTAAAGGCCCTGATGATCTTTTCTCTTTGAGTCACTCCCACCCAGGAAAAAAGATGTGACAGTGGCAGCAGGCAGAGGTTTGTGATGGGACCAAGGGACCTGAATCACTTCAGTGTGGCTTTGCAAAGCGCTGTGTGAATTCTTTTTATTGTACTGTATTTACCATTCTAATTATGTTTGCTTATGTAAGTATTAAAGTTAGACTATGTTTCATTAACAGGGCCCCGGGAGGACACCATAGCACACTGTGATGACAGTTTTGCTACAGAAGTCATCCTCAGAGTGGACAATCCTAATACAGACCACGGAGAGGTTATTATATTTCAAACCAGCTTGTCCTCTTCCTTGTGCTTCTAGCAATCCCAGGTCACCCAATCCCTAAAATTGGCACCTGGCAAGAAGAGATGAGCTAGATTTTTTTAGTAGTAACAGTCTCTCACATTCCTATAATGATAGCCAGCTTTCCTGAGCACTTAGCTGCCAGGTGCTGTTTTCCACGCTTTATGTGGGATTAAAAACCTTCTTAATCCTCCCACTTGCCCAGTGGGTATTTCTATCCCTACCTCACAAGTGAGGAAACTGAGGCACAAAGAGTATAAGGAACAAACCCCAGACTAATGATGGAAAGCTAATGATGGGACCAGGATCATGACCCCAGGAATTTCAAGAATTGTGGACCCAAAGACCTACACCCTGAACCACTTCTCAACACCTTCCCCCTTCACATGCATTATTTCTTTTAACACTCACACTGCCACTGGGAAGTAGTGGATCTTCACCCCATTTGCAAGACAGAGAGGATGAGGCTCATGAAGACTAAATGACTTGCCCACTTCACAAATGAGAAAACTGAAGTTCACCAAAGTGCGTTCAGCGCTACAGGCATGTACGCAGCAGCTGGTGCTTGCTTGGCCCTGGGCAAGGGGCTTGGGATACAGAGGCCTGGGGCATAAACCATGATTGCTTCTTCCACTTGGCTTCTGGGCCATAAACATGGGTAAATCCTTTCTGAAACAACTGAGCAGTCTGTTAAAAGACTTAAAAATAAGTAAACTTTGGACCCCAAATTCCTGTTGTAGAAACTGATCCTAGGAAATAGCAGTGAATGTGACAAAGGTATATATACAAGATTGCTCACAGAAGCATTGTTTAGAAGAGTAAAAGAATGTAATAACCCGAGTGTTCAACAATAAGACACTGATTGGTGAAATAAATTAGGGTATGTTATATAATGAAATATTATTAATCATTCAAAATGTTATAGAAATATATTTACTGACATGGGAAAATTCTGTAATAAAGTTTTATATAATTTTTAGGTGACAGAAGCAGATAGCAAAATCATATATGCAGGCTGACCTCATTGGGGAAAATGCATATGTATACTGGAAAATGTGTAAATATGAGCACTCATAGAAATACTATGACCCCAAAGTGACTACTGCTGATAACATTGCAGGTGGTTTTAGTTTTTGTTTGTACTCATGTTCATTTTTCCATATTTCCTACAATGAACGTATATTACTTACTTTATCATGAAAAGGTTTTTATTTCTGTGGTGGTTGCTGAAGTGGCTGAGCCACCATTCATATCCAGGATTCAAACTCAGGATCCAGGATGCCAAGTCCAGCCCTCGGCCCCTTACACCCTCAACACAACTGCCCTCCTGGTCTCATGTCCCCAAACCACATCCCACCCTGAATAGCACAGACAGGAGAAACCCAGGCAGGTCAGGTGGCCTGCTTGCCCACCTTTTTGAAGAGTCTGATGACATCCTCACTGATCTGTGAGAGGCGGACGATGACGTTGTTCATGAAGATGTCATTGAGGGTGGCATGGTCTCGGCTCTCCCGCCTGGTCTGATGCAGGACCAGATACCAGCAGTTCACGGGTGAGAGGAGGTACTGGTCCTTCCTGTGGAAACCAAGATGCTCCGGTTGGCTTCGTTGGAACTGTCATCCAGACAGTGTTCTGCAGTGTCACTCACCGTGGCTCTCTGACCCTCATGGGGCCCTTCAAGCTCGGTTTTATTCTAACACATTCACAGGTGGGGAAACGGATACTGTGAAAGCTGAAGTCATCCTCCCAAGGTCACAGAGCAGTGCTGGGGCCAAAACTCAGGTCTTTGACTCTGAGCCCTATCCCATCTACTCTCCCGTTGCATATGGCATTTGCTACATGCATCTCTCCCTTCTGGGAAGAAGCTGCCCTCCCCAGGGCTAAGGAATATGAAACCAGTTGTGTTTGAAATACAGGCAGTCCTCGGGTTACATCGGACTCAACTTACATCCTTTCGTGGTTACGTCGCCATCTCCCATTTACAGTATTTATATCTAAAAAAAAAGTTCCGTCATTTTGACGTATGTACATATGTGCTTTATGTTTTTTATTATTTATTTACCACAAGTAAAGGTCAGGAATTGTTATCTTTCTTTTACGTTTGTTTTTTTTTTTACTGTTTCACTTCATTACTGCTGTGTATGTGCTCCCTGTGAGTGATGTAGGTGCTTATGGAGGTGAGTTCCGACTTACAGCGAAAATCGAGTTACGTCATGCTGTAGGAACAGATCTCCGATGCAACCCGAGGACTGTCTGTATTTGTCTGAGTTCTAGAACAGTTCCGACTTACGGCAAAAATCGAGTTACGTCATGCTGTAGGAACAGATCTCCAATGTAACCCGAGGACTGTCTGTATTTGTCTGAGTTCTAGAACTATGCAGTTGAAAGAACAAAATATGAACACTTCCCTTTTCCTTCTTCTGTATTGGGAGGAGGGGTTAAGGAAAGCTACTTTGAGTAAAGTACATGTAAGAAAAGAAAATCTTTGTCCTGTAATGATGGACAGATTCTTAGCATCTTCTGGCTGGGCATTGTGCTAAAACAGGGTTTCTCAAAGTGTGGTCCTCAGACCACCAACAGCCGAAGCACCTGGGGTCTTGTTAGAAATGTAGATTCCCGAGCCCCACTCTAGACCTGCTGAATCAGAAACTCTGAGGACAGGCCCAGCGATGTGAGTTTTAACAAACCCTCCAGGGAATGCTAATTCCTACTAAAGTCTGAGAACCACGGATTGATATGCCACTGTTTCCCAGAGCTTGGGAAATGGGATGCTTCCAAAAAACGAAACGGGGGAATATTTCTCTTAAAGACCCCTTTGTTAGCCTTAGCAAAGAAGTTATATATATA